GACACCAGCGACCTTTAGTTAATGGGAGTTCGATAAACTCGAGTCTGTAGGGCTAGAAGGGAACAAACGCATCTGCGCAGTTGTATGCCACATTGGTACAGCCTTCTTTTAGATAGAGAGGCCCTTTTCATTAAATCCTTTTCCTTCCACCTGTGGCATGGCAAAATTGCAAAGGCCAAGTTCAGACTGCCTGCCCCTTGCTACCAGAGAAGATGCATATTAGGCTGGAAAAAAATTTCGTAAAGGAAAAACAGTGTCTGAGTTGGCAAATTGTAACATCTGACCTGATGCAAAGCTGTACGGGCAGCAGGATTTACAGCCGCAAAGCAAAATCATCCCTAAGCAGAGCTGCTTTCAGAGCCACACTGCAATAGCAGCGGAGCTTTTGAAAAAACATTTCTGTAAAGGCTGTCGGCAACGGTCTCCTTGTCTGGCACGCTGGCTTCTTCATCACTTCTGGCCTCCCTTTGTCTTATTCATTGCGGTGATGTGTTTGATGCCTCTGGAATTTACAGCTCTGATCAATGCGCGGATCAATATCACTTTGTGTCTGGATTACAGCAGGAACTTTGTGAGCGTTCGGGAGGTATCTCGGTTGACATTACAAATGGACATGTCTGATGTGAAAGAACAGCCCTTGCCCTTAATGTCTCATTACAGTCTGCTGCGCTTTCCCTTCTCGCGCTGTCCCAAGGGAGCGCAGACAGGGACAGCAGGGCTGAGGCATCAGGATCTCTGCTGTCGGGGACTGATCTTTGTCCCTTGGGGTCTCCCTCAGTACGTCGGGCAAGGCGACTCTCAAGCCTGACGTCCTTTCAGTTTTGGGGGCTGAGAAGTCTTGTTTGCGTTTGGGGGCAGAAGGGAAGTGGGTGCTCATTTTGCTCTGCTCCTGCTCTGTGAATTAGTCAAGCATATCGTTCTGTTTATCGTGTGTTTCACTGTTGTTTTCAAAGATACTTGGAAGCCTTTGGGCCCAGATGCCGGGGCAAAAGAGGACAAACAGAAATTGGCAAAAACAATTCTGGCATGTACGTCTAAATGTATAGATAGTTGGCATGGACTACAGAACTGGAATGGCAAATCTCTGCCGCGAAACCTCATTCTACCTCCCTCGATCTCAATTAAAGTGCGCGTGATCTGTGTTAAAATGGGTCGCTTGCTCTTCGGTGCTAAGCTGGGTACCTTCTCTTTTAATTAGGTGCTTCCTCTGATGGTCCACTGAAGCTGCTTCCCGAAAATCACTTTGATCTGGTGGTGATAGATGAGTGCGCTCAGGCCCTCGAAGCCAGCTGCTGGATACCTCTGCTGAAAGCACCAAAGTGCATCCTGGCTGGCGATCACAAGCAGCTTCCCCCCACCATCATCTCGCACAAGTAAGGAGTGGTTCGCGGCCCTACTTCTCCCGTTTTTTAGGCAGCCAAAGGCTTATAAACTCCTCACGTTTCATGACATTTTATTAATGTGGGCTGTGTTGTCCCTGGGCTGGGTTTAATCACGCAGCCAGAGTTACAGCAGAGCTGTTTTACTGATAGCGGCTGCTTTAAGTTTAATGCAGCTCCGTCTGAGCAGGCTTTTCTTATCACACGATGACGTGACGGTCGGTTGTATTACCGGCTGCTGACCAAATCCCGAAATGGGAAAGCGCGTGTAGTTGGCGCGGTGCTGGAGAGGGGCCTCTTGGGCTGGTGGGTGCCTGCTGGACAACCGCTGAAGGCCTCGTGAGAGCTTTGCGTTTGCAGCCAGGACGAGCGATCTGGCTGGCAGCCTTCAGCCCCAGGCTGGAGCTGCCGAGCGAGCTCTGCGATTTCCCCAAGGCGCGTGCGTCTTGCGTACATCTCGGCCGCGAGGCAGGCGTGACGCTCTCGACCGTGCGGGAGCGGAGACGTGGCCTGCAGGAGGCTGCCCACTGCATCGGGTTTTGTAGGAGCAAGCTCCCGCGGGTTACCTTGGTGCAGTCACTGAAGCAAACCCCAAGAGCTGCAGGTGATGCTCTACCACATCCTGGCCTTGTTTGCAGTGGGAATACTCGTTCAGGGAGCTGTCTGCCTTTGAAACAGGGCCGTGCTCGTTTTGCGTAGGTCCTCCGAGCTGCATCAGGGGCCTGATCCAGCAGCTGGATGCCCAGCCTTTTCTGGGACTGCCGCTTGTCCTTGGCCCACACGTAGCTCGGGTCTGCCTGCCCACAACAGAGAGGATCCTCTGTGCAGAGAAAGTCCAAGACAGACGAGGAGGGTGAGTGCAACGAGGCAGGAAGAGC